TATAACCATATTATAACACATATTATAACACATTTCCAAATGTCAGGAAATTCCTTCAGAAAAGCCTAGGTGTTTACTGTGAGGGGGTGAAGAGTTATGTCAAGATCCTTACTAATGCCGTGGGGCAAAAGGAGAAATTCCTTCAGGATGAGGGAACGAATGATAAAAAGAACAGATGAGACTCTGCACCATAAATTATTCCTAGCACTCTGATTTCTCAGACTTTCAGAGACACCGGCATCATGAAAGGGAATCATCTTACTTCAAATCTGCACATATGCTCCAATGCACTTGCCTGGAATCCTTCCTTGGTGGAAAGAGAAAGGCAAGTACCGCTGGAGCAGAGAGATCTGTCCCAAATAGCTGTGACCCTCTGGAGTCAGTGGAGAGCCTACTTAGTTAGGGTAGATTAGGAAGACAATTTTAAAGGACCAAAATTTGGCAAGATGAAGCCCTTTCCCCTCTAACTTGTATTTCACCCCACCCAGCATAGAAGAGGCAGATGGATCTTTGTTTTGCTGTATTTTTGCTGGGATACACTAGATCCTCCAGCTAATTCTGTGTCAAAGCAGACTGATACATCACTGCTGCTGGATTCAATTGCTGTTGCCATATTCCATTTTAATTTGAGTCACTACAGACACCTGCTCAGAAATTCAGAAAAACTGGCTGTGATGCTGTGATGCCACATCAGACAGTGCGAAAACTCATGGCCCACACTTCTGTAGAATAAAGGAGGCAGTGTATCATAGATTGGCTGAGTTACATCCCAAAATCCCATTGATTTTAACTAAGCCAATAATACAGCCAAGTTTTCCTCCCTGGTACTTTGTTCCTGCAGATACCTGATTTTCAGATATCCCTACAAAGAACAGAAGGAAAAAAGATTTAAAAATGTATATGACAGCTTCTGCCTGGACAGAGAAAATGATAGTCTCAGAGACTCATATGTCAAAAAGGAGTGAGGCCCTTGACTGAATGACTTCTGAAAAATTATATCTATTTTTAAAGACAATGTCCAAATGCTTGGAAGATGAGAGGTGTTCCAAGGGCGATTCCTAGGAGGAGGAAAGTAAGGAAGTTTGACTCTTGGGAATGCTGCTTGTGCATCTCCATCTGTGATTGTGTGTCCTTTCATGACGATGAGATTCAAGTACAAAATTGGGCTCAACTATACAAGTTCTGAGCCCAAAATTATGGAGTCGTATGCTTTATCAAGAACTGCCAGCAAACTAAAGCTTTTCTTTTTTCTCAAAACAAACAAGCAATTACACCCTCCTGAAGATGCTAATGGCAAGGTTGCAAGATCAAGCACTTGAAGGTTGGAAAAACTACCTATATAACTTTCCTTGGCTTCATTTTGTGAGGAACTGGTGAAAGAAAATGTAGGCTGCTACAGTTCCTTAAGTACATGTGGGTTCAGCCATTTGTTTCTCCCTGAACGACGTTTGGCCTGATAAAACAATAACTAGGTGAAAATGCTAATATCCCGTTGTTCTCTTACAAACCCATCTCAGAAAATGCCAAAACGTCTGTTGGCTGATTCATTCATCTCACAGTCCTCTAACATATGCAATCAGGCACTTTAAAAAAAAAAAAAAAAGTTTTCATTCTATTTCTTTTTTAAGTGACCAAAGTAAATGAAAGCACAACTCATCAACTTTTAGACAGGAAATTTCCTATTAAAATACTAATAAGTATTTCCTAAGAAAAACAAAAGGAAAAAAAATGCAATTATCTTACCAATTTATCATTATTGTAATACAGATAGATATTTTATTTGTGTTTTCTGTAGAAATAAGGCTCAGCTGAAGAGATCTCCTAATCCTCCAAAACATCAGGTCCTTAAGCCAAGCCTGTCAGTCTATGCTGGTTTCATACTGTTCACTCTCAGCCCTGACATCTCCATTTGGAGTCAATTTTGATACCAGCCTTATAGAGTTTATGTACTTAGGTAACATCCAGTGCTGTCATTTTCCTGTGTAACGAAATGTCAGCAAGAAATAGAATCTAAAATTGGTCTGTAACTATGGCAACTAATGAGCCATTCTAACTTGGAGTCCCCAAATCAAACATGTGACCATCAAGGGATTCATTCCAGTTTTAAGACGCTGCTTTTCAGAGAAGAAAATATGCTGCTGCTTTTGCTGACATGCGCATTAGAGGCGTCAGCCTACAACCAGGCTAGAGAGCTGGAACAGCTTCAGACAAACAACTAGGAGAAAAGCAGCTTCTTTCTTAAACTGGAAGGAAAACCAGCCAACACATTCTATTGATGCTAATCACACTGGATGAAGATAAAAGCCTGCAAAAAGAAAAAAATATCAGACTTGACAACAGTGTTTGTAATCATAGCACTGGGAAACAAAGCATAAGCTCTGTGATGAAACGTAACGGGTACCTTGATTTTTGTTTTATTAATTTCAACTTCAGTAGGCACACAAAAGTCAAAAACACATCTGCACATGCATATAAGAATAAATGTGGTGCCAGATTTGTCAATCTGGTAAGAGGGAGGCCATTTCATCTCCCATGACCCTGTCTTCCTTCTCAGAAGCTGTTCTGAGAAGGTTGTATCAGGAAACTCTCCTAAACATATCTTAAAATTATGCCTACAGCTAAAATGTCCCCATCTCTTTTACCAAGGAATAAGGTATTTATTCCTCTTCATATCTCTGCCCGGAAAGTACCAGGTGACCCTTTGTAGGGCCAAGTGAAGGAAGTTCCTCTAGAAGTAGCTGAAGTCTCCACGAGAAGGGCTCTGCAGATAAGGTGTTTCATGCACGGGTTCCTTAAAACCCAGAATAATCAGTTGGAAACAGCCTATCTGTTTCCTGGTTTATATATATGCTATACTACTACTTTTTAAATGGGCAAATACTGTTCTTCCTTTCTGCCATGGGAGCTCAAGATCTTGGTGTCAGTGCAGTAGGAACACATGACAAGAATTCATAGTATGAATGGCATATACACTAAAGATGTTTTCCTGTGGCACTAGAACTAGAAATCATTTAGCTGCTTCGAACAAAGAGCACCTTGACCATATTAAGTAACATCATTATTCAGGCTTTTTTTCAGAAGTCAGAAGGTAAAATAAATGTGTAAATAAAGCAGTTATTAGTTTTCCAGCATAATTTGAAAAGTGCACAGTTATTGTTAGCAAATGAAGTTGAAGATAAAATTATAATGAAATTAAGATTTAAAATAAAGGGTCAGTATTCCCTTATACTACATTGGAAGGTTTCTTTAAGCAGCATGTGGAAGTTCTAGAAACTCACTACAGTCCAGATAAGAAGAAAAGACATTAGGTATTAGTTAATTCTTTAACAAAGAAACTGGAAGTTCTTACCAATTTTCTTTGAAGATTTAAAACCTAACAAAACAAAAAAATATCTTCACTAAGTTATTTTGCCTACATGTGTAGCCATCACCCGACACTGTTTTTGAATACTGGCTGGGTAGGAAATTAAAAAAAAAAAAAAAAAAAAAAGCATAAATTACAGTTTTTAACTCTGGTAATCTTGAGAGTTGCTGTCTTGTAAAATAAGGTACATTTGAAAAAGTGAAAAAATAATTATGACCCTTGAAACAGAACCATGAAATATTGGTTTGCTGTCTTTGGAGGGGAAAAAAAAAAAAAAAAAAAAAAGACCTCTTTGAGAAAGACCAGTCAGACTACTTCTTATTACAGGTCTGGGGTAATCAGAAAAGTGATGGGTCTGTCAAAAGAAAGCAGTAATGGTGACAAATACATAACAAAAGGAAATTAACAACTTTACTTCTTTTGTGAATTTGAAAATGTGCATAAATCTCAGTGCAGCTAATTTAAAAAGAGTACTACAGTTATATCAGTTATACAGTCCCCACAAGATGCAATGCTCTCTGGTGCACGAATGGAAAGAAGAGAGGACACTTTAAAAAAGCAGTATGATTTTGCTGTACAGAACAGAGGCCATCTCTGGTGTTTTTTATCTGTCTCTATCGCGCACTGTATTCCTGCTAAAGCAGCAAAAGCCTTTGCGTGACACTTTAGTATTAGGCATAAAGATCATCAAGAGGTGATATATGATACCAGGGTTGCCATCAGAACGCTCCAGAGGTGACTCAGGTGATTTACTGGAGAAAGGAGAAGACATCTACTCTATTTTCTCTGAGTCCTTCCATCCACACTTACATTTTTAACAAAGAGTAATTACAGACTTTTGTGCATGACATAATCTGATGAGATCACATCCACTTTAATTCCCTTCCTTTAGAGGAAAGTGATCCATTGGTTCAGCCACAGTGTTTTCTATTCATATGGAAAATATAGTTATGGAAGCAAAGCTATAACTCAGGAGAAATAAGTAGACACACAGACAAAAGAAAAACAAGGAAGAAAGGGTATTGAGTTCTACTCTGATCAGATGTTCCTGATACATCTCAAGTCACAAGGTCATCGCCATCAACCAAGGGCTTGTAAAAAACATCCAGTGTAACATCCTAGGTGCATCAGGAAAAGCTGTCAGTAAGTGTTAATAATGAAAGGCATGACAACAATTATAAGAGATGGAAAGTTAAAGCTCTGGAAGTCTCACACTTTCTCAAATTAGTTTTTACCTAATTAATTAATCTTCATTAAATCTGGGCCAGCTTAGCAACATCAATAATAGGAATTAATATTTGAGGGGTCTACACAGAAAAAAAAGCTGTAAACTTTGCCCACCTACGAAGCAGCATCATGTCTTCATTCGTTTACTGGTATTTAGAGAAAAAAAGAAAAAAAAAAAGAAATCTTGCAAAGGCCCACACAAAGAGTAAACACCATACTGTTTCGTGTGAGGTTGAGAAACAGTTATAGCTGTAAAGGGGAAATAAAAAAAACAACAAACCCACTACAAACAGAAAATGTCTATGTAATGCTGAAGGTATAGGAAGATGGCTTCAACATAGCTAGTGCCTGTGTGGGTAGGGCTACAGGGGCGACCACAAGAAGCTTTCATCAAACACACACTTCTCACCATTTCTTTTCCTTCCTTCGTCTTTTGTCACTTTTTGAGGTGCCATTACTTTCTGGAGGGAGCTCCGGCCAGAGCTGGGCTTTCCCGACCCATTGCTGATGATGGAGCCGTTCTGACTCGGGGACCGGCTGCAAGTAACCATAGCAACAAGAGAGCCTGAGAGTTCTTCCTTATAAACCTCATTCCAAGGTTATTTCATTTCCACAGTTTGCATCACTGAGTTTTCAAGTCTGATTTTGTACCAAAATCAGATAGAATATAAACTGCACAGAGAAACACAGTAAAGGCAGGAACAGAGCAACAGTAGGAGAACGTGACTTCTCAATTATTTCAGGGTTGATAGGCATCTTAGGGGCATCAAATGCAACTGCTTCTCATGCACAACCCCCACAATGACAGAAGTGGCACTGCAGAGGACAAAAAAAATCCTGTTATCAATTCAGTGCCATTTATACAGCTAAAATAAAGAAGACCTTTGTTTTTGTATATATGGTTAAAATAAGCCCTTTATTATTTAGCCTGCATTTACACTCAACTGTTTTGTCAGCCACAATGCAAAATTCACTCATTCACTTTACATGTACACCCACACAATGTGGTAAGAAAATTCTTTTTTCCTTTTCGCACATAACCTGCTTTAACCAGCAGAGTTATTTGCTGAAACTCCTAAGCAAATGCTTGTTTTACTCAGCCATTACATATCTCTGCCCTGAAACTGGTCCCTGCAGAAGGTGATGGGGGAGGGCAAAGCAGAACTGCTGCAAGCATTCAGTCCCAATAAGGAGCAAGAACAGAATTGAGGAGCGTAACTCTGGGCTGCACTGGGAGCAAGCTCTCAGCAGAAGTTCTCTTCTTTGTGGGTTGGGCAAATTACTCAAATCCTAGCGCACAAGTTGGGAAAAACAGGCAAAAGTAGAAAATGTTAAATTTTATGCTATTGCACATCCAGACACGGTGTCATATTGTTTCTACACTTGAAACTTGTCACAATGGGAATTAAAACTATTTATAGGACCTGTATAGTTACTCGCGCACCTATCTGCAATCTGTTGCTGAATTGTCATGGCCAATGACAGGATAATGTAAAGAGATTGCATCAGAGAAAAAAATAATGGACTTGGTCACAAGGACTTTCATTTACAGAGAAAAAAAAAAAATCAAATCAAGTTCTATTGCTGTCACAATGGCTTTATATCCAGGAAATGGTACTAAAGGAAAACAACTGTAAAAAACATCCTGTAAATTATTGCCAATACTATATTGCTATCTTGAAACATTCATTTACCTCCAGTTCTGACTGCCCTGTCTGGTGTAAGCAGAGAACGTTTACTATGGTCAGAAGAGGAAGGGACAAGTATGAGAAAAGTAATTCCTAGGGACTCTCTTCTGAGGTTAGCCTAGATGGAAATATACATAATTTGAGACAGGCTTTTTCCAGCTACAGGGCTTTAGGATAACTCAGCATGCAACACAGCTCAGATCAGCCCAGCCTGAGGATTTTCTTGTGATATTCTATTGAGAATAAATATTCTTGAAAAGTAGCATTTCTCCCCTATAAACTTGTCTGTCACTGCTAATGAATAAGCCCAGCCCAGTAAAAAAATTCATCCAGGGACAGAACACCACCTGAAGAAAATCTGCTCCATTTGTGAACAAGAAAAAGAAGCAAGCACAAATAGCTTGCACAATGATATCTGCTGTCACTAATCTAAATATTTGTCCTTTCTAAGAGGCCATCATATCATTAACTTTGAAGTTTCCTTCAGTGGTAATATCAGAGAAGATATTCTGATCAGTTACCAGCTACTTTATGACAGTCTGATTTAAATTGACCTTTCCAGGCAGTAAAGTAGCCTGAATGAAAGAGCAAATACATAAAGGTCAAAAAATATTTCTTCATCTTTAGAAATCATTAAATTCCATCCCCAGTCACAGCTTCTGGGAATGAAGAAAGGCTAAAATTCTGCATGTTCACTTACTCAACTAATCACTCTGAAGGAGGCAAAACTAACTCTTAGTTATTTGCTTAGAAAGGCACCAAGGTTCAACACATTTTATAATGAGAATAACATTCCTATGAATTTCTGGATCAAGTTTACTTATCAACAGTTCTTTAAAACTGTGCAGATTAAGTAGAGGGGGATTTCTGCACACATTCAAAAGAATGACTGAAGTGCTTTTGTTAGAGGATTAATAGGGCTGGTTTGCAATTTTTGTGTGTATTTACACATTGCTTTGGAGAGACTTCAAAACATTTTAAAGAACAGTTGCTGCAAAGACATAACCTGTGGTGGCCCAGCATCAGCAACCACAGCCGGTGTCGTGGTCATCTTCCATTTGTCATTTCATCAGAGGTCAGAAGACTTCAAAAGGGACAAGTACTGTTTGGCTGGGACACACAGGCTATATAACCTGACTCTCAGGGTTCAAGTGATTTATGGTGTGAACAACACATCACTGACATTAAAGGGCAGAATAACAGTTTACACCCAAACCCAGCGAAGCAATTGCAGGAACCAGAGGAGTTCTCAGCTGGCTTGCTCTTCTCTGTTGGTACTCCCTGCAGGCAGCTCTCTCCATATTCCAGGTGGTTTACTATACAACCAGAGCAGTATGACAAAGCAGACACCAGCTCAGGATCCTTCTGTTTCCATTTTTCTGTAGGGAAAACCTCAGCTTATGATCAATGGGGAGGCCTACCTGCTGTGAAGTGCAGCAGCGCCGGGTCCTCCAGCCCTGCGCCATGCGGGCTGACACCTCCCGCGGCTGCAGGTGGCTCCAGCGTGGCCCTGGCACAGCGTACAGCAGTACTGTGCCCAGTTTTCCAAGCTTTTCTGTTACTCCAAAGGGGCAAATATCATTGTGCATTGATAAGTACAGGATGAGGTGACTCAACTACAAAGATTGTATTTTCTATAGAATTTCTCTGCGCTAGCCAGACTGTTTACCTAACAGTTTTATTTTCCTCTCTTCCCTTCAGTATCATTCTTCAGCAATAAAAAGTTGATGATCCTCCACTCCAAATTAATGTCAAGGGAAAATGGACTTGAAGCATGCAAAACAACTAGGATAAAAGAATAATCTTCTTTTCTTGCCTGAGATGACTGAGACAAGAAATAATGACCCTCAGCTAATCTGATGATGAGGGTAGACATGAGGTAGAACGTCCTAACATGAAAGGCAGTGAAGAACAGATTGCTTGGGGAGGCTATGCTCATCCCACCTCTGAAAGACTTTAAAAAAGCTAGATAAAGGGAGTTAGGCATGTATTTGACCTTGCAGTGGAGAAAAGCAAGATCCAAATAGCTTCCTGGGGACCTTCTAATCTGTGATTTTACAACTCTGTAGATTTACCATGAAGAAACTGCAAATCTGGGACACTTTACCCTAGACATTGATGTTATCTAGTCTATTCCTACACTCTCAAAAGTGTTGTCCTGATGTAGATGCTTTGGTTCTAGAGGTCTTCCATAACTGAGTGAACATTTACGGTTTGCCCTTCTACTACTGACGACATTGAGTCCAATTCTGGAGTGACAGAGTCTGTTGGTGGAACTACAGCAACTTACAGTGGCTGAGGTCCTAACTTCTGGTTCATTTAAGAAGTGAGTAAGAAGTTCATGCTCCAGATCCCATGTTTCATTTGGGTTCATCTTGTGTACAACAGCAGCATACATATGGCAGCCACTTCCCATTTACCTCCTCTATGCATGTACAATCTGTGAAGACTTCACTTTATTTTATCTTGCATTTTGCAGCAATCTTACACATCCAGTGCAGACCAGCATTATGCCAAGAATATATAAGGGAGGAACCATCTGCCACACACAGAGTCTGGGTGTCAAACCTTACAGTTTCTTCCTAAGCAACCAGCAGCATGTACCGTATTCCACCCTGCTACAGAAACATGTCAGTCCATACCTTTTCCTTGTTTCATTGGATTTGGCAGTTTTGATGGTGCTCCCATCCTGAGTAATTTCCCTCTCCTGGGAGGCAGGAGCATCTCTAACTGGAAGTGGAAGTACAACAGTCTCCTGAGTTACAGGTAAAATCTCATCTTCAGCTCCCTGCTGACCTAAGTGTTGCTTGGCATAATCAAATCCTTGTACTGGCTGTAAAAAAAAAAAAAGTGGGAGAAAAAAGAAATTTCCAGCATGTGTCATATGTTAATATAAAAGTCCCACTTCAATATAAAATTTTCCACTGCCCTTTACCTTCTTTAATTACATAAGTGACAGGTAAAAATACGTAGATTACCATATGGATGCTCAACAACAAACCAATTTTCTGAGGAGATCTCCATTCTACATATTTTAAACATGATTAGTTAGTATAAAATTGATCTTGGCTAACCTTTCTTACCCTGCTGTAACACCTCCAGAAATTCCTCAACAGACAATGGAAGAATGAGCATATGGAAGAAAAAATTAAGAGGGAGAAAAATAAGACCATACAGAAAATGGAAAACTTTCTCTGACAAAAATCTTGTGTTTCCAAAGAGGGTGGGAGTAATTTATTCCAAATGAAGACAAAGTATAAAAGGCACACATCAAAGTTTAATGGGCAACATTTTCTAGAAAAGGATCTTGTTCAGATCAGTGAAATAATATTTCCTTTGGTTTGCCGGGAAGGTTGTTCTTGACTTCACTTGTTTCTCTTGGGAAGCAGCATTAATGGGAGCCTTGTGGTAAGGCAGCCGAGGGCTGTCTGTCCAGCTGCTCCTTCCTCAAAGCCCAGCCAGGCTTTCCCTGATGCCTCTGCAAGGAACTGACACATGCCTTCTGGGCAAAGCAGCCACCAAAAGGTGGAGTCTCTTAATGGAAAAATGAAAGCATTTAAGCAAAACTTAACTTTCCAAACTGCATTTTCTACTGGAAAAAAAAAAATATTAAAAATAAAGCAGTCACAGAAATTCCTGACCACCTCTGGAAAAAAAATGTAACACATAAAAATGTTCTTTTAAATGTTATTTCTACACTAAATTGAATTAATTTACCAAAAACTGGAAGGATGCTTTTTCTGAAGTACAAAGACCATTGACAGAATGCTAAAAAAGCACCATAAAACACTTCAAAAGGTGAGGAATTATGTTTTTAACCCTTAAACCTACTTTGGGAAACAGATCAGAATTAGACACTGAATAGTCTCTCTCAGGTTCCTGTCATGTTGTCATTGAATATTTTAGTTCCATAAGAAAATTAGCTGGATAAAAAAATTTGCTGATGGTACAGAAAAAGGATGAGCTCTGAAAAAAACATCTTCTCTTGTTCTGTTCCTTACTAAATCCGGGCTACAGCTGTAAATACAGATAAATTTCATAGGCAATCTCATTCTGAAAATAATGGGGCTGTCTTCTATCTTTTAAAACAAAACATGCTTTTTGTTTATGTTCATCTACATTGCAATCCCAATCTCCTGTTCGAACTGAGGCTGATGATTTCTAATGCGCTCACATACTTTAGTATTCCTCTGATAAGTAGCTCCAGAGCGTTAAGGAGACACTAACTGGGCTAATGCTGATCTGGGAGAGTAGACAGCTCCACATATTACCATAATGGAACTTGCAATGTATCAGAGAAATACCAATTCCCCATCAGCACCCCATGGCAAGTCATGATGATATCGCCCCACATGAAGCCATTCTGCTTGCCCCACATGCTTGCCCCACTCTGAAGGCAGGGTACCACAAAAGCAGCCACCAAATTAGCTATGAAGGGAGGAAATGAAGAAAGGGATGGGATTGAAGAAAGGGGAAAAGCAGAACCTGTGTGAAAGACAGCTAGAAAGAATTACTGCACAACACCCCAGATATTATTTTGGTTAAAAATACTACTGTTTTTCAACCTTATTATCTATCTTGCTAATCAAGACCGTCCTGCAAAAAAGGTAACAATAAAGCTGATTAAATCTGTTGTTTCTTCCTCCATGCATTTGAAAGAGTAGAAGTTACAACTTTTACTTCATATCTTATTTTTTAAAAGATAATTAACAAAAACAAACAAAACCAAACCAGAAGTAGTATAACATGAATTTAAGAACTCCGCAGATTCCCAGCTCAGATCTGCCAAAGGAAGAAAATGAAGGATTATTTTAATCTGAGTTCTACTTACCACCATGTCTAGTAACAGACTGCAATAAAGGAAGAGCTGAAAAAGCCATCCTCATCAGCAGACGTATTGTGTTAAATCAAATTTGATCTTGGAACCCTTCTCTGTAAAAGCCCACAGGAGCAGATGGCTTTACCACCCCTGAAGGGAACTGGCAAGACTAAATCACGATCACTAAATCACTGCTGAAGCAGTGTAAGTGTAGATGCCCAATACAGACAAAATACTGAAAGACTGAAGGACTTGGATTTGAATATTGCTTTTGAAATAATAAATGAATGATGAGACCATTAAATTACATTGCCTGGCAAAGGGCAGTTTGAATACAGGGAGCTGTTTATGGAACTTTTTCCCTTGTAATGATCACGAAAAAGACACTGATATTAAAAAAAAAAAAAAAAAAAGACCACGAGAAAAAAAAAAAAAAAAAGAAAAAAGGAGAGGGAAGGGGTTGATCATCCATGTACATAGACCCATGTACACAGACAGTTTCTCTGATCTTTATTTTTACCATGCCCTTTATCAAATTGATACTGGTTGTTTTCTCATGGCCTGCAGTATTTGCTTTTGCTTGCGGGTCTTAGACTGCAGATTTTGTTTCTGTTTACCTGCAAGCTTATTCTTTCATGCTCTAAAAGAAAGGAAAGGTGACAAATCAGATTACAGCCTTTAAAAAAACATGCTTTGAATTAGAAAGCAAAGGAGTTAAAAGCTAACATCCATCCAAAGCCTCAAAGTAAAAACAATTTCTCAAAATAAGAACAGCATTGAAAGAACATTCAGATAAATTCCCATCAGAATTCCACTGATTTGAGTATATACTTCCTTTAATTTTACAGCTGGAGAGCCAACTGAAAAAAATGGTAACAGTCCCTTTCCCCTGCAACTTAGTCCAGATCTCCCTGACTGCTAAGGCAACTCAGAACAGTAATGCAATTCCTAAGAAAGATCCTATAAACTACACTATGTATGAGAGGTCATTTTTTAAACTTCATCTAATTGGCCTTCAGTCCGTTACAACAACAAAGCCGTTCCTGAATTACCAGGCAGTCCTGCTGTTCTGTTCCATCGCCTCCCCCAGGGACAGAAGGACAGTTGACGCTGGGTGTTCCGTTACCCCCCCACGCCGGCACGGGCCGGGGACTGCGGGGGGACGTGGAGGGCAGCTCAGCTCTGCGAGGACCCGCAGCCTCCGCTGCCCCAGCAGCAATGGGACTGCAGCGATGAACAGGCAGCTCTGCTCTGCCAGTCCCCTTGGTGCAGGACTTTTGGAATCTGAACACAGACCATGGCACTACTGAAAACAAAACCAGCTGACATCCAAGGTTGTGGGTATCCCATAATATTCTATTTTCCTCTCTATACAGTTTGCTGGATATTCAAAAGGTATAAAAAAAAATCCCTCTGGTGATTCAACAGCAAATCTCAGATGCACAGAAACAAAATAGTAAAGCTGCTTCTTAAACTAAAAATCACTCTGCTGTGACTCCAGTTACAGAACAGACTCAGAATTAATCAAGCAGTCTCAGGCACTTTTCTAAGCCATGATACAATATAATATATTATTTTTAAATGTGATATAGATATGTGCTCATCAGCTATTTGTATTGCCAAACTGCATGAAATGTAGCAATTACAGTTCAAGTAATTACCACTATTCCTGATATCCCCCAACACTGGAATTAAAAATAAAACTGCTATTTTCAAAATTACTATATTTCATTATCTTCCCAAAATACATTTCTTAGCCTTAAGTAAAGATGCTGAAATCAGGGATGACAAAACCAGTCCATTCCTAATCCTGCTGCAGAATTTATCTTCCACAGTCCATATACCAGCGTATACTCTAAACTAGGCCTGGCAGAACCTTTTTGATGGAGCCATCATTGTGAAACCAAATGGGAAGCAATTTAGCTTTCATTTTGAAATGCATCACTTCTCATATAATGAATTAAATTAAATTTTATGGAGTCTCAAAATATACCGAAAAGGGGAAACGCACTCTAGAAGTGGACCTACTGCACTGCAGCTGCAAATGTGAGCAAGTGTACAGGAAAATCTTCTGAAACAACTGTAGTGCAGATGTAGGAAGCTCAGCACCAGTTGTTTTGTTCTGCAGATCCACCTCCCACCTGATGACATTAACAGCTGATACAAGTGTAACTTGACTGAATAGGTTTTAACCTGACCATTTATCTTATATAGCCTGATTAAACCTGATTTCTCAGGAAAAGTAAAAATTCAACTCTTTTTTTTTTTTTTTTTTTTTGGAATGACATCCATGGATTAAAATATTAAAGTGCCTTCAAATTTTTTCTGTGCTGTAGCTTCAAACAGCAGTGGGGTTTTTTAAACATCAACTTTCTTCAGCTGTAAAGCATCCCATAATGATGATCAGCTCAAAACAATGTACACATTTTGTCCTTTAGCTGGGACTAAGATTACATATAAGAATAATTAAGTGGTGCATAGCATTTGCAACAGCCCCTAAAAAAGCATGATTTGCATTTTAGAAGTTTCAATGGGATGTTATATGATATCACTGCAGTGGTATTAATTTTTGTTTGTGTTTGTGATATTGTTTGTTTCACTTTTGCAGATCTAGTCTTATCTAGTTTGATAACACTGGATAAATAGAGGGGCATACTGGAACCAACATGGAAATGTCTTTTTTGCATCATTTTTTATACAAATGTCTTTTTCCAACTGGCACCAGCTGTACCCATCTGCAACTAACCTAAGATGAAAAGAGCTGTCATATGCATCATGCCTTCAACTCTCCCTCCAATCTACATTTTTGAGCAGAAGCAACAGAGCTGAAATCACAATAATCCTGCTGTCTTCAGCATTAAGAAACCAAAGAAAACATTTATCATTTCAATCCCATGCCAATGGAGAAGAATAAAATCAGCTAAAAGGGCAAAGAAACAGTATGATTGACACACAGGCTCTTTAGGCTAAAATCTCCTAACCTTGGGTGGCTCTGTTTAAGAGCCATTTAATAGCAGCATTGAGAAGGCAAACCTTTTTCACTATGAAGACATCAGTATTCATTTTTCTGTTAGAGACAGAATCAAACTGAAAGAACATTTGATTTGGAAAAAAACATCTTGCAACTGATATGGGTTATTAACTTTAAGGAAAATATAATTGTTTGAGCCCGACCAACAATATCCACAAATAGATTAGAGAGTTCAAAACATCTAAAAGAAAAATAGCAGTGGGACAGATTTTCTGAAAAAAAATCAAAGACTGACTTTTCTGGGTTAGCAGTTGGGTGGGAAACTGGTTAGGACCAGGTCTGAACTGCTGCCAAAGCCCTGAGCTTCAGCCACTGCCACTTGCAGTGAGTAGAAGCAGCTCAGGCCACGGGTTTGAGAGTGAGGTCCTACAGGAGACTTGCTGCTGACAAGGCCTAGGCATAATATCCCATTTCCTCAGCTTTATGAAGGAAGCAACTGCCCTGAGTAAAGCCTACTCAGCCCTAATGGCTTTACATCACTGCGTAATGGTTATTCTGTCACTGCTACTTATGTGGTGAGGGACGAGCTGTGATGGAAATTGAGGAGTCCTGAGTAAAACAGAAGGGTGACTGCTGTGACTGGTGGTGCAAAGCTCCAACCTGTGAGTAATGACCATTTCAATTCCAAACATCCTTCAACTACATCCAGCAGAGAAACACAGTTAAAACCCCAGAAAGCAAATGGACATCTTGGATCTAGAGATCACTCACTTTAGCTCTCTGAGGCAGATTCATCATGGTGTCTGGTTTGAAGTCATTCTTGTTCTTCCTGCACAGAACCGCTGTGATGATGATGATGATAACTGTAACCACAGCAATGGGAGCCAGCACTGCTGCAATGATCCACAAGTTGTTTGGAGGGTTCTTCACCACAGCTACAGAAAATTGCAAACCAGCATTGGTGAGTGTCACTGTGCATACGCAAGATTTAAATTGCTTCCAACAGAGTCTTCAGCTGTCTCCATATAATAATTAGTATAAAAGGATTGTTAGTAATCTAACTATACCTTTGTATTCCTTAAGTAAAAAAATATTAATCAGCAACGCTGTTCAATTCACAAATCCTTGGGCTCTCTTCTCTTAGTTATATGTCACTTGGTTATATGCAAAAGCAGCCATCAACGCCCAAGTCAAGTTAGATGCCATATTAGATATCACTGCAATGGTTCATTTACCAAATAAACAAAAAAAAAGTTCAACTACTGCATCCTTACTTATTTTTCAAACACAAAACCAGTTTATAATAAGGTAGCATGTATATTAAAAGTATGCACATGGAGCCAATACATAGCATCAAAGACTTACTGGCTTAGCAAGAGTAAACTGGCAGAGCTTTTTCAAAAACAATGAAGCTAAGCATGCTAATAGTTATTATTGCTATCAATAGGGCAAGAAGAAAATGCTTCTCTCGTGCTCTAGAAATACCTTATCATAGTTAAGGTATGATATATAAGTTAATTGTGAATACATAGTTAAGGTATTCATATAAACGAATCCATCATTCCTGAAGGAGGGGAAATGTTGAGGTTGGAAAAAGCTACTTGCAGATATATTAATAATGGCACCAGGAAAAGGGTACATTTCAGAAATGCAGTGATGCTAAAATGTTTTAGATTCCATTTTATCAGAATAAAGTCTCTTAGTATGAAAATTCAACTTGTATGCACATAAGAGATCCTCCTGTGACACATCTCCCATTCTCGCATTTCATTTCTTTCTGGAAAAACACCAGATAATCTCCTTATGATGCTGAATTTTGTTTTAGTGAAATATTTTGTGGACTTTACCATTCTATCTCTATTTTCCTATGCCACTGGTTGCTGGTATGGACAGGCAATTGTGAGAATACCAGCATAAAGCAGCCTTTTCCATTTCCTAGGGGACTAGCGCTTTCAAATGACATTGAGTTTATTAGCTGTCAGAGGCACTCAGCATCTTTCAGGATCAGACTTCAAATGCATACCATCTGTGTTCAGCAGCAGTTACAAAAGCCAGCTGAAAGTCTGTCTGAAGCTTGAGCTTATTTTCTTTGTAGATCTACAACTTTTTGCAAAGCCAATGTAGTTTGTTGGGTGATGTAGGAATAGCACCGTTAGGTACATATCTTCCACAGTGTAACAGTAACCGTGTGCTTAAAGGCTGCCCCAAAAGACTTTCAAGGTTCACTTTTCAATGGACTTGCATAATTCTAAATTATTGACTTTGATATTTAGTTTGAGGATAAAAGGGCTGTGGGAAAGTAAAATGAATCTGAATTTTACCAGTCAACAGTAACCTTAATTATAGACTGCTGCTTTGGGAGCAGCAAACAACTGTTGAAAAATGATACTTATTCTTTCTAGGGAATACAGGGAAAAAGATGACCTTATGGCTAATAGGACAGACATTTAGGAATCCTGGTTTACATCTTTAATTCAGTTACCAGATTCCAATGTGACCTTGACTAAGTCAACCCACAGTTCATTCAACTCAATAAGACTTCAGTGGATTCTGAAGCAAGCCTTTTGTTCTGCTATAACTCAGTCCCTTGCTTATAAAACAGGAACATCTGTATTTTTTTGTTATTATTTGTCTGTCTTGTCTAACCAGACTATGAGCTCTGAACGGTAGGTGTCTTTTCTTACTGCATTTTGGTATGGAACTTTTCATTCTGCTGTAACAGAAATTATAATGCAAAAAAAAATGAAGTGTATACAAAGTATTTTCTTTGGGAATACATAGACAGACTACAAATACCATGTCCAAAATGAAAGAATTTTTTTCCATAATAAGGTATAAAGATAGAACTACCTACATTTCAAATACTTCAGAATCTCAGTTACCTGTGGTCATAATTTCAATTTCTGTATATTCTCTTCTTACAGTATTCTGTGCATATTTATCTTGTGTGAAAATCTACAGATGAATGAGGCTGCCTTATTAGACCACGGAAGTACAAAGTTAGATGATGAGTAGCAGATGTTACAATTACCTAAGTACTCATGTAAATCATAAAACTGCACAAAGAGATAGGAAACTGCTATGTATTATATATTGATACTTTAGTAAAAATTATATTAAAGAAATAGTCTCATAGAAAACAAAATAATTTAGAATTTAAATGCTAGACTTTGTGGAAAAAGTAATGGAGCTCCCTGGTTTCAGTCCAATTAAAGTCAGTAACAGACCACGATCAAATCAAGGATCAGGTATAGTATATAGTGCATTCTCTGGAAATCATACCATACTTTAGTCTTCTAATTTAATTATAAGTTTATGGATGATACATCAATTACTTATTACAGTGGTCCCTTCTTTTTCCTATCACCATTGCATGTAATTATTTCAATATCACTGATCCTTCAGGCAGAAATAATGTCACCAGGGAATCCCATTTTATATGCTGTTTAGCCAGTAAGGAGATCCAGTACAGAAGTCCACTACATAATTTTAATTCCATCTGGGTAAAAACCTTGTCAAAGTGGAGGGATTCAGTTAGCTAAAGGCATTGGTTCAGACATTAAGCTGTAATTTGCACCAAAAACCCTCCAAGCTCCACCACAGGTTTATGACTATACAGGAACATACAAAAAAAATTTTTTAAGAAAACACCTGTGCCCACAATCACTCAGTAACTGATGCAAGTCTTAAAAGAGAAATTTGAAAACAGTTTTCTTTTAAAGAATGGATTACTTTTTTGGCCACATTATTCTGAATGATAATACTATATCTTGGATCTGAAAAACGGTCCACACACAGAATAGTTCTGTTCAAGTTCACTTTTCTGATTTGTGTCTAAACAATATCTTTAACAACTATGTCATGCCCTTTACAAAGTTCTTGGTGAAAATTATTATTTAAAAAAATAATTTACACTATTTTGAATAAGTCAAAAATAAGGGACATCTTGATAGCCCCCACATTTTACTTTGGGCCAAGTTACTTGAATAGCAACAGCTCCAGCAGTCATTAGCCTGTGGTGTCATGGTTTCATTAGCATCAGAATTAATTCTGACTTTACAGTTCCATAAAGTTTTTCAGTTCATAAAACTGTATGTGTGTAAAATTAGTTGTACAGTAGAGTTTACAGTGATTGGCTAAATAACAGTTGGTATATAGCTTTGATTTACTATGATAAAAGATTAGTCTGTCTTCCATAAGACAAAGAGCAGCCTGACATAAGCAGCTGCTCAGAAAGGTGCAGCTGAAATTTCTGTGTGATCAGTGGAGGCTCCCCACACCTACACAGGTGCTTTCACAAAGGAAAAAAAAAAAAAAAAATAGAAGAAATAAAGTACTAAACCACAGAATTTTTAAAAGAACTCTTACGATCAGCTTGAACTTGAATAACATAACCTAGTGTCAAGGCCATCCGCTGGGAGTCAACGGTACTCAAAATTTTGGCAGCTGCAGTGCCCAGCAAAGGCTTCCCATTGTATAAAGTATAGTATGTCAGTTCAGCTGGCTCCTTGGGTCCTGGAATACGTTGGATTTTTACCATCTTTCAGGAAAAAAAAAAAAAAAAAAAAAAAAAGAAAATGAGAGAAAGAGAAATAAACTGCGTTTGTATTATACCATTGCAAAACCCACCAGGAGTTACTTGAAGGCAGTGCACACAGGGAACTCCTTCAAGACTCCATATAAGCATAAGCTCCGTGCAAATATTCTCACAGGATCTGAGCTTCTCCCTTTCATAGCCTAGGCCATCAAGATTAGTGAGGACTGACTTCTGCCTAAAAAATTTTAAACACAATCCTAAGGTAAAACTCTATACTAAGAAAAGCATGCAGTGAAAAGGAGGAAAAGATCAAATGTTTGGACATTACAGTCCTCTGTATAAAGGGAATTCTTAAAATCTGTCCTAATATTGAAAATTATACTTTATACTGGCATACTGTAGTTGAAAAATTCCCCTCACATTTTACTTCTGTACTCATTATTTTTGATACCAGGATGACAATAAAGAGAACCATGTTTTTTCCATTTTATTCTGCAGAACACTGGCAGAATTTTTACATGGTACCTCTATCTTTCCTGAGTAGAGGAAGTGTCAAACACCTCTAACGATGAGAGGAAAAAGAAGTTTCATGATTCTTCACTATTATGTTATGGACTAAAATATGTCATGTTCTCATGGAAAATTTTACAAAGGTTCACACTTTTGGCAAGTAAAATACTGCTCCTTCTTTTAAATTCTTTCAGTGGGAAAACACACAGAATTATGAGCAAACGAGAAAAGTAGTTTATTTTTATATCTCACAACAAGCAATTCTTGAAAAACATCATGTAATAAAAAAAAAAAAAAGCAATAACTTGTCATGCAATTTTTGAAGACAGATCCTCTTTGAATCCCCCACAACTAGCAGCAGTTGGCTAAATTAGTGAGAAAACAAAATACGATCATTGAAAATACTGAATGCGAAATGTTGCTAAATTAGAGAAGGATGATTAATGAATTGGGATTGAAATCTCTACTTCATAATGTGATCTGTGGCCACATAATTTGATGACTAACTGTATAAAGACTGCTTCATACATTTTTTTCAACAAAAAGAAAAAGGATGTTCTAGCTTTATCAAGTTACCGAGGAAAGTAAGACCTAGGAAGCATTTTTTTTTTTATTAATAAAAGCCTAGAAGTCTTCATTGTGCTGAATACAAGACTTTTTGCTGAAATATGTACTTTGTACCAAACCTCAAAGAATCAAAAAAAAAAAACTTTATTAACACTGATTAAACTAATGAAAATTTTTAGAATATGGGAGGCATGCAAACATGGCTGACTACAGAACAAGAAACCCATTAGTAATGTCATGCATTTTGCACTCATTGCTTTGATATTAATGAAAAAAGACAGGAAATCTCAACCCAGTTAATTTTTTTTTTTTTTTTTAACACAAATTCAGACAGGACACATTGAAACAAAGCCCATTTTTCAAGACATATCTAGGTGCAAACAATGTCACATTGACCACCTGCACAGTGTAGCTGCCCACAGTAGTGGCCCGTTTGAATCGTCTTCCTTGCTGATGGGACATCATAAACAGCGGGGCCAAACGCTGCTCCATTAATCTTGCAAAGCTCTGGTTGTTCATTCCCAGTAATGCAATGTCAACCCCTTGAATAACTGTGGGAATGGAGAAAGATCACATATCGGCACATCTTACATGGACAGGTAAAGTAACACATGCTCTGCAGGGCAGTTTGGGACAGGGATGTACTAACTAGCTTAGAAGAAAAATAGCTGAATACTGTTACATTCCCTCAGTAATTCCCAACAAGGTTATAATGTGCTTCTGTTTCAGGCCCTGAACTGTTCTTCTCAGATAATGTCAATGATGTTTCAGAGAAGAAAGTCCTCCAAAGACTTTCTTAGGCATTCAGTTTACCAAAATGGCTCCAGGAAGCATCTATTCTATGATCTTCAATGTAAAGAGTAAGTTAAAAACTATTTAAAAGCTGCCTCTTTTTATGCGTATCACCAGATGCTCCTGTTAACTAAAGCACAGGTTTTCATCCAGCAGTTTTGAAATCTGAAGTTAGGATTTTGTACAACTCCATTGGAAACAAAATATCATGTTTGAGAGCACTGAAATCTGAATAAACATTTCCTAACTATAAATGAATGTAAAATTAAAAAGACACTGAATTTACATAAAGTTCAAAAAAAAAAGTGATATGGCATGCTAATTTAATTCATACATATGTATGATTTTTCAATACTATTTCACAAATCTTTTGGGACCACCATGGTTTTTTGAAAACAGTGTTTCCATGGTAATATCAATAATACTCCATTGCAGGAAGTGCACAAAGGCAAGAAATGGAGTATTGGGTCCACAGGGTCCAGATGGGCAGGGTCTGTACCACACTCTTCCAAGGATCATAATCTCTGCATAAACTTAGTTTTTATCTCAAAATTATTAAAAGATATAACAGGTACCAAATCACACCAGCTTTTGGAAGCAGAGTGTAGAATTTAATCCATTTCATGTCAGGCTCCTTTGCTCTTGGTCTCCTGACCATCAAACAATTCCAGGTATAGACACACCAATTAGAAAGGCTTTAGTATCTACCTACTCAAAGATGTCTGTGGGAAAGGGTCTCTTTCTTGCCCAGTTATCACTTCTAAAGTCAAAATGACTGTGAATGAGAATGTGATACTAGTAAAATAACTGTGATAAAATAAGTATTTTGAAGCCTAATAGCACTCTCTTCACCTTTTCCAGCAACAGAAAGTTATGTGCTTAATGCTTCTGGTGAAAGATGCAAAAACTCCTGGACCCAGACAGTTAGCAAATCATAGCAAACCTCCTCGGTTTAACAGATCAGCTTTCTTCCTGGGTAATGCCTACAGGCCGCTTTTGATTTCATATTTAAATCCAAGTCCCAGAAAAAAAGAAAAAAAAATCCTATTTGTGTTTTAAAACTCTGAGAAGATAATGCTGCGCTCAGAAGTGATTAAACCAAAGTGGCATAAATTCTGAGGTGAGTGTTGGACACCGTAGACATCTCTGTTCAAGATGATGAACCACAGTTATGCCCCAGAGTAACATTAAATACATTTGCCCACTTGAATGCAGCAGGAAGGTTCAGTGGGCAGCCACTTATTTCTGTGTAGAATTACTGCACCTATGTGTTTATATAATCGAGAACTAAAAATTATTATCTGAAGTGCATGGAGGAGGAAAGGAGATTAAAAAATACCTGTTATCACCCAGTAGTCTCTAGTTGACTCTGAGACGTCAAGGTTTGGGTACTCCAAAGCTTTAAAATAAAAGTTGAAATTATGTCATAATATTCCAACATCCTACACATTATATGTCTTAAAACTATTTGGTTAACCAGACACTGGTAAATAAAATTGAACTATGGTCCAGGAGGAGATCTAGAGGCATAATTTTCAGGATTGCAATTTCTCTTCTATCTGAAAAAGGACATCAGGTACAAACGGTACAGACACTGCCTTACAAATCAGAACATACATCTTCTGTTGTCAAAATATTGGCTGGTACACTATTTGGGGCAAAGCCCAGGCTTGCCCATTACTAAAAATGATATGTAATATGCACATGTCTATGTTGTATACATCTCTGCTTTCTCTCTGTGAGTAATCTCCTGGGGAAACACATGATATTCTATGGTGATTCTGTGATTTAAGACTTACTTCATCCTGACCACCATTTTAACCAGAAATAGTATTAAAATAAACCAGGATCAGATTCCACCAATCACGGAGTGCAGTTCCACGTGAATTACAAACAAAACTAACAAAACTGTAAACATCCCTTCGAGTGTGGTACTCTCACTCTGCACCATATAAGGTATTACAACCATGTGCATTTACATCTGTGAGAAACTGGTATTTGCTGTTTTGATGCCTTTTGTTAGCTTTTCCATCTCTAAATGTACTAGGCTATAAAGTTCAATATGCTGCTAGTTCATTATACAGCTCAGTATTTTTTCCAATAGATTTATGCAACATGGAAAGCATTAATACTTGGAACTTAATTCAGAAAATATCCATGCCTTGCATGTCGATACACTGCTATTGAGTTACCTTGATTTTTAAACTCCAAAGTGGCTTGAAATAGTAAACATTGTAAAGCATCTGATTATGCACACTAACTGCCTCTGAGGAGGGATTTCATAGCGTGTCCTGAGCTGTGCATTTCCATGACAGACTGTAAAGGCTCTGGAGGAGCCACCAGAGTCTACTGGGAAATAACACACTCTGAGAACAGCAGCACTATTTGTTTGATAAACTGAAACAACGTCACTGCCACATGAATAAGCATTCAACACTTTTCAAAGTAAACATTTTCACAAGACACGCTATCAGTCTGAAGCCATAAACACTATATGTGCATTAAGTTCATGAGTTTGCAGTATACCTGCTGCACTGGGAATAAAACCAAGAACTCCAAAATGAAATATAAGCCATTAGTTGTCAGAGAAGCACTAGCTAAAGACTGTATTGGGTCAGTTCATCATGTGCGGGGATCGGCAGAGAACTGCAATACAACACAAGACTCTTACTGTGTGACAAATGGCTTTCACAGCTCCCAACTGCCACGTATATGCCTTCATGAGAAGCATCATAATCCTTTTCCTATGCAACAGGCCTATTTTGGACACCAAACACAAAATGACTGCAGCCATCAACAAAACTTCGTTGGGCTTTCTCCTTGTGCTCCTGGATGCCCTGTGAAGACAAGTCCTGCACACAGGGCACTCTTCAGACAGGCTCACCCACTAGCCACAAAAAGGAAGGAGCCTGTCTCATAATGAATGGACTACAACCCTTTCTAGGTCCCCAAGCATCCCTTTTGTCAACAATCTCCCTCCACCTCCCCTTGCCTGTGGGAAGACTTGATGAACACACAAGCCTATCCTGAGATGTGTTTCTTACCCTGTGATAGAAAGTCCAATTCAAAAGTGCATCAACACAGTGCAAAAACTCATCATCGGGCAGTCTCACCTATTTTTTGCAAATATCTGATTTAGATAGGAGCTGCCTCAAGAATAATATATGTTCCTTCGCTTTCAAGGATTTGCACAATCACCAGAGTTAGCTGTGATTCCTGACTGTCTCACACCAGAGAGGGATCACTTACCCCACAGACAGTTCATTGTGCAAGTAACTGATGAAGAATTGCACAAGATAATTACTCTGCTGTTGGGCTGTTTGCAAATAAAATGGACTGACAAAAAGGGCAACTTGTGCTTTCCCCAGTGCTCACTTTCTAGCAGCCTGCTTCTGCTTTTTCTTAGAATCCGAAAATGAACAAGCACCTTTATAATTTTACCTAAAGCTACAAATCCACTCAGTTCAACGTTCTGATCATAAGGACATATTTGGCTCTATCCTTACATGCCCAATTATTTCATTACTTGTGAAATGACAAATTACAAAGTATTCCACCACTGGTTTAGCTTTATCAGTGAGCTACCAGAACCTTACCCAGATCTTTACTAGTATTTGAGCACAGTATTTCAAATTTAATAATCATCTTGTGAAGATTTACACACAGTGAAATCAGATGACACCTGCCTTTCCTTAACCAGAGTCCAATACCATGCACTGACATACCCAGCATGTCCCTGTCTCCTCTCACTTCCAGTGAGCGCTGATCTCCTCCAGTGAACGGATAACCCAGTTCTACAGTGAGCTTAATTTCACATACCAAGTTTAACAAGAAGATTAAACAGAAATCTGAATAATCAAATATCTTGCCCCTTTATTAATTTTAGAGAAATGAGCATGCAGACTCAGGGAGCACATATGCCACAGAGGCTGCCCAGACACACAACCTTCTCTTGCTCTGTGTACCTCTGGCTCTTTGTAACAGTTGAAATGCAAGCAAATTATTGACACTAAAGTGCTTGGACCACATTTTAACATGAGGATGGATTTCAGCAAACGCACCAACAACATTTTAAAAGAATAGAGCTCACCCACTACCCAAACACAGCTCAAAGTGTGCTACCCAGCCCTGCCACAGGAGCAAGCATCAGGGGCTGAGTCTTCCGCTGAAGTAAGCGATGTGCTGAAGATAAACTTTATGTGCTGTGCTAAGTTTTCCTGAAATGGAGAACTGGGGAAATTCTGTGGTTTGTTTTACCTAAAACTATGATTTTATTTTGTCTGGAACCTGGCACAGTCATTTTTTTATTAATGACAGCATATATGTGTTTTTCTTAATTATCTGCCAGTGTTTCTAGCAGCTGAAGTAAAAACTGAACCCAGAACCAACACCCCACCTAATTCCCCCATATATTTCTTTTCTTTTATTAAAAAAAAAATAAAAAAAAAACAAACCCTCAGTTTAAAAAGCAGTCAGTAAAAACACCTACAATCTGTGAGCTTGACAACAAACCTTTTGGTGCTTGCAAAGCAAAAGCCCTACACTGGTTAATCTTAACAAGCTGTGTGCTGGGAAGCACGTACTTACATTCTGCAATGGTGAGAGGTGGGTAGGTTAGATAGAAACCCACTAGCTCAGCTGACAGCTGATTAAGAAGGTTGCTGGAAATAGTGCCATTTAGAGTTGTGCTTTGATTGTTCACTACATAGAACAATGTGACAGCTTGGGAGACATTAGAGGTGTTCAAAATCTGAAACAGAGGCAAGGAAATAATGTGTAGCTGTGTTTCAGTGCAGCTGGAAAAAAAAGAAGAAAACTCAAACAACAACAAAACAAAACAGTGCAAACAACCTGGGAATAAGCTAACTTGAACAATGGACTAGATACAGCTCACTCAACATCATTGTGTAAAACTTTGTGTGATACTTTAATTTCCACTTTAGCACACCAGAGCTACTGGAGGACAGCAGCAGGCAGAGAAGGTGCAGTCCGCACTGAAAATATTTTTCCCTGTTTTTTACCAGAAAGTGTAAGATGAGGGAGAGGATGCTTAGCAAAAAAAGTGTTCAGTATTTGATACAGAGGGATTCAGCCGGTATATCTTGTTCTCTTTGCTGCCTTCCTAGTGAAGTTATGTAGACCTACACCTTTTCCGTATGAAATAAAGGGCTACCATGTCTTCTCTGTTCCTAGCATCATATGATTATTGGCTCTTCTCCCCACTTTAGCTCTACACCAGTCTCTTCCTGAGCCCAGATCTGGTGACTGCATTTAAGGACCAATTCTATTTAGTGAATACTGGATCAGATCCTCAAACACCAGTTTTATGGAGGAAGCAGAGAGGCAAAGGCAAGGTGGGAATGGAAAAAAATATGTTTTCTCAGAACTCATGCCTTAGGACAAGAGGGATGTTTTTTGGCCACTGATACTGTAAGGTAGAGCCAACAGCATTCATCAAATATGTATCATAATATCACCCAGATGACAATTTACTTATTCCTGAAGTATGACATAGAGCATAAGGCTGATGGCCCACTAAACATATACAATTCTGCAAGAATCAGGTCCTTAACAGTGAATTTGAGTCTGCAAGTGCAGAACTGGAATGCACACAAAAAATAAAGAAATACATTCCATTAGCTTAAGTCTTACAAACAGCTACATGTGACATTATCTTTATACCTGAACAGCCCCACTAAGAGCAACTAATGTGTCAGAATAACATATTCAGTAAAAACATAAATTCAGAAGAAAGTATATATTTATTTTTATTTGAATGTCACCTAAACAATTTAACTGCAAACTGTTACTGTTATTTTCACAAATTTGAATTTCACTGTCTTCTACAAATCATGCATTTATCAGTTTTTCTGCAATATATAAAACAATCTTATTTCAGATGAAAGAATAAACTTATTTCCAGTGTGGCTATAAAAGATATTATGTTGAAATACAAGCATGCACATAGGAAAGAATAACCCAGAGAATGTGGCAACAGGCACTGGCAAAGCATGCAACATTGTACCTGAACTGTTAAATTGTTGCTGGTGTTTAAAACCTTTCTTTCAGCATCCTGAAATGCTCTCTGTAACCGTTGCTCCATGGTCTGAACAAATTTGCATGAGTGTATATTGTCTGTTTGACCCACAAACTGCAGCTCTGGAAAAGGAAAAATGTACTCATACGTGGACAAAATATTCTTGGTTGCATAATTTCTGTAATGTCTGACAGCAAGATGACCAATTTACAAATTAAGCAGGTGAAAATAATGCCACATAAAGTCAGTTTACGTCATTCAAGCACTGCAGTAAATCAGCCTTAATGAAGACAAAACGTAAGAGTTAAATTGCATTATTAGAGCTGATACTCTCCACAAACAAACAGAAATTGTTTCTGCAGTGATATATAAGATGGTAAGACCAGTTCACTGTACAAATACTTACTCAGAGCCAGGTAGTAAGTGAAATCATTCTAAAACACAAGCTATACTCTTAAATCTTGCAGGTCCTTTGCTCTTGCAAGACATAATCAAATCATAATATTGATTCTCATTCTGTTTGTGCTAATAAAAAATGTTCTTAACAGGGTAATGGCAATAAGTATGTGTATATAAACATGTACGCACACACATAAGAAATTTTTTTACAATGAAATACATTGTTTTACAGCACACTCTGCCCTCTCGTAGCTTATGCTGTTCTGTTGCACTGCAGCTGTTCTGCACTGATGCTTGCTACGGCACAGAGGGTTACACAGCAACCCTGGGTCCAGTCAGAACGATATATACATATATCATGTAGTCATGTTTCTCATCTGACCGTCCTCAAAAGAAACACACTGGTTACTGCACAACTCGTCAGTTATAGTCCATTTTAACCAAACTCCAAGCCTTAGTGAAGCATACTGGCATGACTGCTCCCTAATACAACGCCACTTCATTTCACAGCCGTGCCAACAGAGGTGACCGAGCACACCATGCATGACAAGGATCTACACACCGGCCGTCCCGCTCATGCCAGGAACATCAACACATGAACCTAAAGCAGAGCTTGTCCTGCTGCTGCAGCGCAGAGCGGGGGCCAAGGCAGGGTGGGGAAGGCGGGGGAGAAGCCCTGTCCCTGCGCCCTGAACTATTAACGCACGCACAACCCGGGCACGGACAGGCAGGAGCATGCTCACCTGTTTTCAGCTGGAAGTGGTAGGCGGGAAGGGGCTTCCACGGCAAGGCCAGGGCCACCACGGACTGGAGATGCGGCACGTGCTGCTTTATGTCTGCTGTGGCGTTGCTGATGCCATAGGCAAGAAGCCTTTCAATTACAGCAGCTGGCATAAAAACCAGTCTGCCCCGTGTAACGTAGTAACCAACTGTTACATTACTAGATTGCTCCAGGATTTCAACCTAAACCATACAGGGAAACATTTTATTTTTTTTCTTTCCATTTTGTTTGCAGTTCAACCACTATTTGATGACACTTCTCATCCAGATTATATATCCCTTGCAGGGTTTTTATTCTGTAAGCCCCTATAAACTCGACAGGAGCAGTTAGTGTCGTATCAGACATAGCATTTAGCATTAGCAGAACTGCTCAGGGAGCTTTAGACCCAGCCCATGAAAAATGTGCTCTGAATTGAAGCAGTGCAGTATTGCTACCACAGCTCACATATCTCTGATCTAGGCTGGGGCTTAATTTATGTGTAGATAGTGGGGCATTTTACTTATGAATGTAAAAATACAGAGAATCCATAGAACTTCCAGCTCCTCCTTCATACCTGTACTTTGACTTTGTGCATGTGTCCATCATTGCAGATTTGGAGACAGATTTTTGAAAGACAAAAGTTTCCAGTGTTTGATTCTTCAACCTCAACTGTCTCTTCTATACTATTTTTCTATACTCTTTTCCTATACTGTCCCAGATGGTTAAGCTATCACTTAAATGAGTGGAAATGACAAACCACAAGAATGAACTCAATGTGAGCCAAACCATGAGTTAAGATTTACCTCAAAATTCTGTATTTTCCAAAAAATGTAAGCCCTGGAACTGGTCCTCCACACTAACTTTTAGCTGGTTTCCTTGGTTAGAAAAGGGCAGCTTCTTTCAGGTTTACAAGAAAGTGAGGGAATTAAACCTGACATTTTTTACTGATGCTGCTGAGACTCGGGAATATACAAACCAACCAACATCATCCAAACTTGCAGCCATAGAGCATGAGGACAGAAGTCAACCTGATGCACTCTATTTTGAGCAAAATTACTTTTTTTTCTTTCCTAGTGGTTTGGTGAGTATAACTTATAACAGCTTTGGACTCAGCTCCAACTCCTGCCCAAATGCACGGAAACCTGTGTTGCAGAGAAGAGTGCCCCAGCAATCCACCTAAGCCTGCTCTTACACGCAGCAATGCAGAGGTTCATGCAGTTTAGCTGCAAGGTGATGAATACATCTTCCTCATTTACTTTCAATACAACATGCTTTCTCCCTGCTCAGAACTTTCATCCCTGTGGAATTGTACTTGTCAGATACTGGGTTTTCAAGACAGGGAGTGGACTGACAGCAGCAACACCCCATTTACCAGCCCTGCTCTTGCCATTGATGCAGGCTGAGCACAGGAATACTTGGCCAACTGAACAGGAGATGTTCCTGAGGTGCAAGGGGAGAAGGAAACTGCTCTCAGTAGTTGTTTCCCAGAACATAGCAAAAATAAATTTGCATTTCTCTCTTCTACTTCATCAAATAAAGTGGTAAAAACTTTGGGGCGGTCCTTATATTTTCAGAGCCCAGAGTGGGTGCCACCCATGCCTGCTTTCCATAGGAAAAGCTCAGTGGTCCCCTCCAAGAGGCTTCCTACATCCAAAGACACCACTGGATCTGCAGCCAGCTGGGATTCTCTTGGTGGGAGAGCTGTTTTGGTGAGATCATGCAGGCAAGCCCAGCATGCTTACCTGAGCACTGACATTTTGGTTGAAAGCTTGTCTCAGCGCTTGGTTGAGTCCTTTTCTCACACTCTCCTTGAAGGCATTGCTGATCAGCATCCTCCTCGTGTTCAGAAACAGAACTGTGGAACAACAAAAGTCACGTGTTGGTTTGACACATTACCATGCTACTATTTGCTTTTTTAAATTGTTTTACACTAAGCTAGCTGGGTGGAGATCACCAAAGCAGCTAGGATTTGCAGCAGCTCCAAAGGCAGCAAAAACTGCAGGGGCTCAGTAGCATCCCTATTCATCCCATGGCAAATGCCCATTGTTTGCAGAGTGTGGTCTAACAAATGCAATTTCTTTAGCAACAAGTCTTTGCCATGCTGCCTTTCTAAGTGAGGTCTGACACCACTCAATTGCCTGCAGACAGATTGGTGCAGCACGCCCAGGGGACTGAGCTGCGGCTGCACAGGCAGGCCTACCTAAAGGACAAGTGCTTCATACCTTCGTGGCCAGACTTAAATAAACAAAGAAACGTGTTACTCCACTGCTACAATTATTTTCCATTTAGGACATGTCTGTACACTTTCTTTATTAACTTTATTGATAGCTTTTTCTTTTATAATTTGCAGAAAGAGTTTTATAGCTTAAGTACTTTCAATCATATACTGTACACAAGCTACTTTTAGAAATAGTTGTTGTGCTCATCATGCTACTGATGTAGATATTTAGCTGCTACTAAACACACATCAGGTCCAAAAGCTACTTCTTCCATTGTCCCCAGTATCATTCAGGTTTATACAAGGTCATAAACCCTTTCATGTAGCTATTTTTCTTCGCTGAGATCTCCAAGATACACACATCTTCTGGTGCTGCACTGAGCTACCATAAGCAGTCCACATGAAGCCTGGGCAAGGGACCTCTCCAGACCCCTTTAGTTTAGAATTCTCATAGCTAAGGAAAAGCTGTCTGTGAAAAAACAACTAGATCCAGAAGTGGTACTGTTCACATGGAAAGCTCAATATCCTCCCACTTTGAAGCGTACAATATTAAATACTAAACATTATTTTCAAATGAATCTTTAATGATATAATAGATGTTTGTAGAAAGGCAGAATTAGGTACTCATATGTAAACAAGGCCACAGACTACAGCAGGTTACTGCGCCATCTTCTTCAGTAACGGGCTCCTTACTGCAGAGCAGGGGGACCAAACCCTCATGTCATATGGGGTTGTCCCTCCACACGAGTGGTTCTGCTAGATCCCTGCAGTAACCCACTGAACTTCAGAGTCCCTGATCTCACTACACATTTATTGTAAAATCCAAGCTACAAATAAAGCTAACACCATTCCTATCTAGCAACCCAGCTTTTACCTGTCTGGTTTGTCAGTCCAGCAGCCTCGTCCCCAGATTAATCACTAATGCCCCCATGTTATTTGACACTTGATTGTGTTTCCCACTCATCACCAGTTGCCCCTCAGAGACAAGCAAGATCCTTCCAGCAAACTCAGTGGCTGTGCATACCTGTTTTAACCATAAGGTTCCTGGAGAGGCGGCAATCCAGGGGAGGAGCTGCTGTCATATTAGCAAAAGCGGCGGCTGATGTGGTTTCAGGAGGAGCAGAGGTGTTTTCCACTGGAGTAGGGGGAAGCCTAGTTGTTTTCGCTGATGCTGTAATAGACGTCAAAGCTGCTGTAATTGTCAGTGGATACGGGGTTGACGTTTTGGTGATTTCTGAGCTTGGGAACTTCTGGGTGTCAGTTACTGCTGTTTCTATCTGCCTTGGTATGTGTGCTGTGGGTGCAAGCGTGGAAGCAGTGACCATGCTGCTTTTAGGGGTTATGAACATAGCTGTCATGTCCACAGGTGATATAGTTGTGTTTCTTGATGCAAAAGGAAAATCTGTATGTGTTCCTACTGAACTTAGATCTGATGTCAATTTTGTGGCAGTGTTATTTTTTGTTAGTGTCAGTATCGGTGTGCTTAAAGCCATCACAGATGGCAAAGGTGTGTTTTCAGTGCCTAGAGAAAGGAAGGAAGAAGCTGGCACTGGTGAAGTTGGAGGTGATTTTCTTGTTAGTGGTTTTGCTTCTGAAGTTCCTACTGTAGGTATTGCACCAGAAGATACTCCAGATAACACTGTAATGACAGAATGGGTAAAGTTGGTTGTTGACAAAAAAGGAGAAGTTAGTTGTGTTGGTGATGCATGGACAGAAGTTATGATGACTGACTGCAGAGCACTGGTGGTAGGGGTTTGCAATGGGATGCCCTTGGTAACTTTATTACCTATATTACTGGGAACTAAACTATGTTTTGTAGCACTTGTGTCCCACTCCTCCACACTAAACATAGCTGGATTTTTATCAGCTGTAACCAAAAATCCAGAGGACTCTAATTGGTTATCTGCAAATTCTGCCAAATTTCCAGAACCAATGTTGTCTTCTGTAATAAAATTGTGCAAGAGAGTTGAGGTAGAAGGCTTGGTTACAGGAGAGGGGTACTCAGCTGGCAGTGTATCATGGATGGCACCGTTTTCCTTGCTGGCTGAAAGAGTCAAGTTGTCAGTGAGCTGAAAAGCCACTGTTGGTGTTGTGCCTAAGGTTTTTGTCAATAAAGTAACCTTTCCAGCATCAGTTGTTTGTGATTCTAGAGAGCTAGGGAAAGCACCTGTATCATTAACAGAAGGCACATGTGAACGGAGAGGTACTTCATAGTGTATACTGATATTAATGTCTCCAACAGTAACTAAATTAGCAATGTTTTCAGCTGTGCTTCCATGCTTGCTTTGCAAGGGGTCAGGCACTCTCAGAGTGGTAGCAGGGGATGAATACTGAACAGGAGATGTTTTCAGTGCAAATGCATCTACATCAAATTCTGGAAAACTATTTGACTTCATTCCAGCAATGTGTGAATTTGAAATGTTTTGACTAGAGTTTGCATATGTATAGTTTGCTGACGGGGTGGAGAAGAGTGACTGAGTATTTCTATTAATTTTCATTTGCAGACTTGAAACTACTGAGTATGGTGCATGGTACTCAGTTTCCAATGCAGAAGCACTTGGAGGAACTCCTCTTATTGACGTTTTGAATGAAGTTTTTACCGAAGGAATACTAATGCCAGCTGAAGACAGTAATGTTGTATCGGTCCACTTAGAAGTCAAAGTTGCAACTTCAGGAGAGCTGACAGGATCTAAATTGCTTTCAGAGTCTGCATTTGAAATCTCGGAAAAGCTGGAACTGTGGCTGTCCATCACCATTGTCATGGAAACGAGTGATGGCGGTGTACCCCACACTGGAGGCACGACAGAGGTGAGTGGCTTTCTATAAACTGAACGTGAAGTCTGATCAGAGGTAAAATCATTTAAAGCTCTTGGATGTGAATATTCTGCATGTGGAGTCACAACAGTGGGTGCTCTCATATTTCTGTCTTCATTTGCAGTTACATCTGGACTTTCTGCACCTCCAGGTGGAAGATGTGCAATCACAAAGATATTAGTAGCAGATGTATTTGTGATAGTAGGTTCAGGTTTTGAAAGGTTTGTAGTGGAAGTAACTAATGGCACTGCAGCTAGATCAGGACTTGTTATGGCTGTTTCCAAAACACTATCTAGTATCTTTGATCCTTTGAGGAATTTACTTGTTTGGGTATCGAGAAAAACTTTGGAAAGCTGAAATCCGTAAGGCAGAACACTGTTAGCGTTAAAGTTCATGGACATCTTTGCTGTCACCCCTCCTGTGAAAGGCTGTTGAGTTGTTCTTGCCACAGGAAAGCCATCAAAAGTTGGGAGAGTATGGGCAGAAGCAGTTGGCAATCGCATGCTTTTTGCCTGATAACCTCCATCAGTCAAGTCTTCTGCAAAAGTCTGATTCAGAGTCACTACCGAGTGCTGTGAGGAAACAGTTAAGGGGATTTGCAAAGTATCTTCATTGGCTGCTCCTGTGCTGGGACTGTTTCTGCGTCCTCTCCTAGTAAAGGTGTCATTTGTCTCAGTTAGCAAGGGAGACTTTGTGCTTCCTGAAGAGGGATATGCTGCATTTCTAAAGAGAAAATCTGTTCCACTTCTAAATGCTGGTACTGGCATCACTACATTGCGAGCATGCTGTGCATCTGGAATAAATGATTTTGGCAATGAAAGGGAAGGTGTGCTCTCTGTTGAGCTGGAGAACTCAGACAGGCTCTTGGAAGCTGAAGACATGAAAGGTGCACTGGTAGTGCAATTAGTCAGTGCTGTGGAAGCCTGAGGATAACTCGTTTGTGGTATTAGATGTGGAATACCCACAGAATGGAAGACTGATGTAGAAACCTCTGCTTTATCCTGAAAAACTGATGATGACAGAGGAGTGATATCACTATTTCTGTCAGTCAATATTGCCTTAAATGGCTGACTGACTGGTTTTACTCCAGCAGAAGATACATTAGACATACTCTCATTAGGAAACAGTGACAGGCTTCTGGAAGTTACTGGCAGGGAAGACTGATAGGTTTTTGACACAGGAATATCAGAGTATACAGACAAAAAAGGGGTCCTTTCTGAAGGAGACCCTTTTCCCACTATTTCTGTGAAATGCACTGTTGTTGATCCAAAGAGATTGAAAGGTATGGTACCGATAAACAACCCGGGACCCCTTCTGTGATTCACCATACTGGAATGTAGTACAGGGACTGTGCTCAGAGGACTATTTCTGCTTTCACTAACCTGTGACCTGGCTGAATCTGTGTTGAAGAAACCTTCAGGATCTGCAGACAAAGGAACTTTGATGGCCAGTACAGCTGGTTTAGAAAAGTTAATGGTATGAGGTGACTGAATTACCAATGAGGAGAATGATGGTGATGGAACAGCAGCAAGCATGTCTGATCCTGATGTGCTTTCTTTTGAAATGGAGGGTGATTCTAATGGTATTAGCTGAAATGGCACAGCTGTACTCGAATGTGTCACTGATGGTGTAGTGGACAATGTGGGAAACATACCAAGTTGAAGCAAACCTGATACAGCAGCTGCTTCATCTGTGTCTTGAGACGATGACCTCAGAGGTGACTCAGCTGAAACTTCAGCAGGTTCCTGGGATGCACTGTTTCCACTACCTTGATAAAGAGTGGGTGACAGATGAGTTTGATCCAAAGTCCTGGTACGTGTACCAGTCAGTGTTGTTTTTATCATCTGAAGCAAGTTGGCATTCTCCAAAGTCTGTCCCATAGAAATATCAGATACTGAGGAAGTCTTAGTTTCTGTGGAAGGCCGTGTTGGTGATAGTATAGTTCTCCAGTTAGGAAAAGGTCCTTTAGAAGGAGCAATGTTGATATGCTGTTGCCTGATACCTGCAAAATAATACGCAAAATGAATATATTCTTCCCCAAAAGGAAGAGGAGTTGTCTTGCTCCAACAAATCACAATGCAAAATGCATTATGTTTAGTATAATTAGTGAAGTTTTTTTGTATTCAGAGGGCATAAAAATTCAGAGTGAGTTAAAAAAAAAAAAAAAAAACACAAAACCCACAAAACCAGTGAAAGGTATATGACATTATGAACACCCTCAAATCGTTTCAACTGACAGAATAAGAAAAGCTTCCTAGACTGTACTATTTCAAAATACTGCTTTTAAGTGGAATGGTTCAACATAATAAGATATCTTCTTAAGCCTGGGACAATTCTTGAGGTTATCATCAGTAACCCTATGTCAAAATATTATGTGAGAAGATGGGTTTAGAAGCAGTGTTGAAAGGGTACAGATTTTGACAACCAAGCTTCACTGGCTTGGCATGCAGTCTGACATGGGAATAGAGTCAGCATTGGCTGCGTTCCTGTAGGATGCATCTGGAGGTGCTCATCTTGCCAGTTCTAATAATGCATGCAATTATAGACACAAAAGGAAGAAAATAAACCAGGGATGAACATGAGGAAAGGGGGGCAAGATCCAAAACAAATTAGGAAATTAAACTCTTTTTTTGATACATACAGATGTACAACGCATCCTTTCGAACACCAGTTTACTCTACATTCAACACCATAATGTTCCTAGGCTTTGTTTTCTTAAAATGATTACAGTTATTCTAAAATTGTACCATGGGAAATCTCACATTCTTACTAATTTAAAGATTAAGATTCACTCAAGAGTAAAATTTAAGGGTTTTTTTTTTTCCTCTCCCCCTGCCAAGATAATAGATCAAAACTCAGTACTGGCACTTGCTACCATGCCAAGCTGTGTCCCCTTGCATAGCTAAACTGAGGCAAAGCACAGAGCTAGGTCCTGCCCTCCAACTGCAGCGCATCTGGATCAGGCACAGAGGATGCCAACCTCCTCCATACCCCTACAAATAACTCCGGTCTAATGGCAAGGAAGAGTAAGCAGGGGCAGACCTTGAGATACACGGTTATAAAATTGGTGGGATGTTAGATCCAGCCACCACCAAATCCAAGGGGGGCAACAGAGTCAACAGCACCAAAGGGGATCAGCCCACACAAACAGAAGCCGGCAGCAGAACACCATGCAGCACAAGAGAGGAAAATGGGTCACGCTGCACCTATTTAAAGCTAAGTTTCTTTATTGCGATACCCTTGTGTTACACCGCCCATCATCCATATGCGCAGGCCAAAGTAGATGATTAGACTAGTTCCTTCAGGCTCCTGTGTGCATTCAACAGGAACATGCTGGAATTATGTTCAGTGTGGATTTTTCACTCTACAAAACCACCCAGAAAACAAACAAACAAAAAAAACCCACAAAAACAAAACAAAAACAAACAAACAAACAAAACAAAACAAAAGAATCAAAACAAACTAACGAACCACAGATCTTCCTGATCAACCTGATATAGTGGAAGGTGTCCCTGCCCATGGCAGGGGTGTTGGAATTAAATTATATTTAAGGTCCCTTCCAACCCAAACCATTCTATGATTTTGTGATTCCCTTTTATCCCTGTATTTAAGGGCTATATTAAGCCACAATGAAGAATGGCCATTATTACCTTTCCTCCACTGAAACGCAACAATGAATTCTGAATCCAGAAGCAACTTGTTTTAGGTAAGCAGCTCCAGCATGGGTAACACAACAGAGCTCTGCCTTCCTAGAAATCAAAAGAGTCCCCAGGCCTTTACCTTAACACAAGCTGACTTGTGCACTAGCATTTTGGAGAAAAGCAAAGGTAGGCAGACACAGGGCTACCTACAGAAACAAGAGATAAGCCAGCTAAAGGGAAGCCAAATCAGCCTTTATGAAGCTGTACCAGAAGATCAGCAGGCTGAAACAGGAGGCTGCAGAGTCCACCAGGGAACCTGACCACCAGGAGAGGTTTGCAGCACAAAAAGTAATGCTTTTGTATTTGCACCATGGCTGCTGACGTGTCAACTGGGGGACCGGAGTCCTAAATGACTGGTGTGGCCTGATTTCTAATATTCTATGTGCTCCACCATATGTTGAGAGGCACACTGTGATTTAGACTGTGTTTTGGTGGCTTTTCCTTCCCCATTACAGTCAGGCATCTTTTTACTAGAAGGTAGGAAAGAATACAACATGGTTTTTTGCTCAACTAGAATGGATTTAAACATATGCTTGGAATTAAGAACTAGATGATGCACTTCGCAAAATCAGGCCTTCTGCAATCTGCAGTTTAAATTTCTGTGAGGTCATCATAGCTGATGAAGTCATCATTACCCAACCTGTTACACCCCAAACCATCTTGTTTCACCTCAGAACTGAAAGGCCGTACTGCAAAGTGAATTCCATGAAAACATGGGATTTCTTCTAGTACTTAGCAAACATGAGTTCTAAAGGGGAATTAAACAAATCAATGTTTCTTGCTTTCTAAAACAGCAAAATCTGTCAACATCAATCCGCACACAGTCTGCATCATTCCTCATATATTTCTTCACACTTTGGCTTAATGAGAATGATTATGAGCAGAGAGACAATATAAACCTGAAAAAAAAACAACATTGAATTGATGTTACCACATTTTGACAAGTCATAAAGGAAAGCTCAAATAATGCAAAGAAGATAAAACACTGAATAAAAATGTCCTCTAACCACTGCTTAATTCTAGTCCTTCAGTTCCTGTTTCTTCCATTCCACACCAACTGGCAATTTTTCTGTTTATGTCCATTAATGAAGTAAAGCTCTTGAGTTACTGAAGGTTTAAAAAAAATATACAATATTCTGTAACCAATATACAAAGCTGGCACTCCACTGCAGCAAATTTTCTTTGAGTCTACCTTTATGGAAAAATATCAGTATCTATTTTAAACCTCTGCCATAAATTCAACATCCTGGTAGTATCCAGACACAAGGTGCAAAAGGCAAAATTATCTTCCCAGTACACGGAGTTCAAAATGTAGTACATACTCTTTGCTTGAGAACTGGTAGGATGATATCAACAACTACAGATCCTTATCAGATACTGTGCAAACCAAGACTGTATCATGGAAAGGGACGAACATGGGGAAAATATTTTTCTTCTACATCTATTAACAGTTGAAAACACATGATGAAAGAAGACAACCAATTCAAATAAACAAGGAAGTCACAATGAAAACTGCATTCTGCATGCATTGTGCACTGCGCTATTTCTTGTACAGCAGCTGTTTCTCTTGTTTCAGGACTACCTGTTATTCTACCATACTTCAGGCTACTGACTAACCACCCCTCCAACAATCCTAATACCCACTTAGCAGTAACCTCATTACAGCAGCCATCATTGATTAGGGATCTTTCCATTTGCAATAATGAGAAAAAATTGATCCTGCTTAGAGAAAACCACAGCTTTATAATTTTTAAGCCCTTTTGGGCGCACCTAAAGGATTAACAGGGACTAAAGAAGAGCACTGAGGTGACCAAGAGGAAGGCCACCATCTCCCCTCACCCCACGTCTAATAAAGTAAAAGGGATAGCACATTATCATAGTCACCCTGTGCCTGTCTGAAGGTTGAAGGTGATGCATACATCTAAGGACTGACGGTAATAAAGGATAATGAATTACACACCTCTGGAGCAAGAAGTCTCACTTATTGTCCAACTTCTGCCCTTGCTCCTGAGACACCACAGTTGCATGTTATTCTTCACACATGTTTGGTTATTTCTAGTGAGACAACTAGGTGGTAAGCAAATCTCCCCTGGAAAAAAAGTAGTAGCTAATGAGAATGCCTATCTATTTGCCATGCCTGTAAGATCTATATTTCATAGCATCATAGAAAATCTCAGGTTGGAAGGGACCTGTAAGGATCAGCAAGTTCAACTCCCTGTTCCCCACAGGGCTACCTAAAACTAAACCATAGACTCTGAGCATCTAGACGATGCTAGGCTCTGATAGGCTTGGTGCCATGACCACTTCCATGAGGAACCTGTTCCAGTGACCAACCAGTGAAGAACCTTTCCTAATGTCCAGCCTGAACTTCCCCTGACGCAGCTTTGTTCCATTTCTTTGTGTTTTATCACTGGTCACCAGAGAGAGGAGATCAGCATCTCTCCCTCCACTGCCCCCCACGAGGAAGTTGTAGACTGTGAGAAAGTCACCCCTCAGACTCCAAGCGGAACAAACCAAGTGACCTCAGCTGCTTCTTGTAAGTCTTACCCTTGAGGCCTTTCACTGTCTCTGTCACCCTACTCTGGACACACTCTAACAGTTTGATGTCCTTCATATACTGAGATGCCCAAAACTGCACACAGTACTCAAAGTGGGGCCACACCAGTGCAGCATATGAAGAGATCAAATTGCTTATCTGTGCTGCTAATATTTGAAACCATGGTCCTGTTTGCTTTATGCCATAATAAGGCACAGATCCATAATGAGCAAGGTGAGCCTCCTGCGGATGCCGCAGCATGTACTCTTAGGAGCAGCCGCAGAGAAGCCTGTAGGGCCGCAACAGCAGAGCTCCTCTTGGGATAGATGAGTAGCAGTTTGTCAACATGCTTACAAAATGAATTCAGCTCCAATTGCATAACAAACAAATTAAGAAAAAAAAAAAAGTCAGGATTCAAACATTTCCCTCCACAAAAACTCTAAAAAAAAAAAAAAAGTTTGAGAACTTCAACTGAATAACAGCCTACAACTCTACTGAAGGAAACATAATGACTATCCAGAGCTTCCCTCACTGTCATGGCAGCTGAGAAATATTGTTTTGCCACTTCTGAGCCATTATGAAATATCAACTCAAAGGTATCTTCAACGACAGAAGATTTTTATTGTCTTGACTTCCATTTCATTACTCACAGATCAACTGAATTAGTAACATTTAAGAGTGAAGTTGATAAGGAGGACACTTAGAAATTTTTTTGTATGACTGATCAAGACATCATCCCATTATAAATCAGGTATGTATCTTTTC